TCTCCTAACAAATCTAGAAGATGAAAAAATGAATTACAAACAGAGTGAAAGTGAGGGAAAAAAGATAATGATGGAAAACTGTGTGTGTGTGTGTGTGTGTGTGAGAGAGAGAGAGAGAGAGAGAGAGAGAGACTCAATACTCTACATTTTAATAATTCAGTTATTTATTCACCATAATCGATTGTCTGTGATACCTATCTTCTTGTTCATGTCTGGATAAGCAACAATTTTATGTGGGTTGTACTTTCAATGGATTTCTGTAGATCTTGTCTCTAAAATCAGCACGGTGTGTCTCAAAGTAAACAGATTCCATTTTCTGCTCTGACTGAGGCCAGTCAGCGTGTCACGGGTCGGCAAGTCCCCAGAGGAAAAGCTAGGCCTCCTCTCTATGCCTGCATATGACTTCAATTACAACAATCATAATTACAGTAAGTGATTATGTTTTAATGAGAAACAGTTAAGGTCAGGTTGACAGAGGCTAATATTGTGGGCAGCACAGTGCATATTATTTCCACTGAGGACGGATTTCATCTCTGCAGCACTGTGAACTTTTCACCTCAGACACTATCACCTGTCTGGTTCCCTCACAAATGTCAATACACACAGAAATTGCAGTGCTGCATATTGAGGCACACATTGATGAGTCAGCAATTACAAAAGGTTGTTTACATGTAATTACAGAAAAGTATTTGCAACAGACTTTTCACATCTTTGACAACACATCTGGAGAGGGGCAAGCTGTGACCGCACTGCATTCTGGGGTATTACAGCTATGCCTGAATTCCCTTTTAATTTTCAGTAATACTGTAACATCCTTGAATATGTTTTGGCTGGTCACCTTTTAGACCAGCTCTTTAAATGCAAAAGTCTGTCCTTGAGTGAGTGAGTGAGTGAGTATGTGAGTAAGTGATGAAGTTACACCATTGGTCAGACTGAGTGACTGTGTTCTTCATTGTCTGTAACCAGTGTAGCATGGTGGAATTAGCAAGCTAGCTAGCTAACTAGCTAGCCGCTACATGAGTAAAATTAAAAACTTATGGGCTCTACACATGCCGCATTTTTTACACCCTCAAATTCATTGTTTTTAATGTAGACCATGCAGCAGGCACGCTTAGAAGCCAGAGCGAGGAAGTTGCGGCACGTTCACGTCCTCAAGTGCCTATTTCTCAGGGCGCGATGGCTGGGCCCTGAGATAAACAGAGATTAACTTTTGGAACGCAGCAGTGCGCACTGCATGTCATGTGAGGAGAAACATCTAATCACAGCTGGCAGATATCTTTCCCTTCTCCCTTAAATATCAGTCTGAGGTACATATGAAGAAGAAGTTGATCATTTTAGTGCAGGCAGAGCTTTACATCTGTCCCACGGACAATCTTTTTGGCCTAATACACACTTACAAAACAACACCTGGAAGAAGATCAGCTCTGCACTTGGGATTTCTAGTAAGTAGGCTATGATACGGTCCTTGTTATGGTCACTTAGCAACCTCAGCCACAACCTGCTTCCACACCCTTCAAAGTTGGCGCCTTACCTCGCTTTTTCCAGGCGTTTACAGATAAGGCATGTGTACGGCCCCTTAATGCTTCACCCACTGCTCTTTTCACAGCGTAGGATAGGCACATTGCTATCATCAGATAAGTGACAACTTTGCTCGGCTCATTTTCTGTAACCACTGTAATAGTGATGCGCGGGCCGACCCGTAACCCCCGGATCTTGGGGGTTACCCGTGGGTCGGGTCAAGAAATGTCCACTTTATTGGCGGGGCACGTGGGGCGGGTCATTAAAGATTAAATATGTCGGATAACAACACTATTGTAGGTTAGGTAAATGCATGTTACGTAACGTAACCTGCGACCTGACGTCACAAAAGCACCAAGCAGCGGTCACAACAAACCAGAATCAATGAAGCGGTGAAGATGGAAGAAGATGTGAGGGAAAGATTACGGTCGGGAGAGTACAGAGTTAAAACAAAAGAAAGCCAAGCTGCTAATTCTCATGTTTGGGACAATTTCTGTGAGGTAGTTAGTGCAGCAGACGACAGCAGCATTGGCTACGTGAAGTGCAATTCCTTTGATAGGGCTATACAAGCATGAGAGCCACAAGACGGGTACGTTAATAGCGGCGGGGGCGGGGTGGGGCGGGTTGTGAAAATAGATGTGGTTGTGCAGGCAGGATGGAGCAGGTCAAATTATTTCGTAAATGCGGGACCTGCGAGTTGGAAAAAACCCTGACCCGTGCATCACTACACTGTAACATTACCATAAAAGCCTGGTGCAATTAGTGAGCAGCTAGCTAACTAGCCAGCTGCAGTCCAAATGGCAGGTTTAAACAGAGGAAAGAGAGGATCACCTCATCAAATTGTCTGAGGAAAAGCCACGTCTGTATGACACACAAGTTTTAAAATTTACGAGTATTTTTATTGAATATTATGTGTTACAATGTTGGGAAGTTGAATAAGATGTCAGAACAGGTGCTGCCACCTTTTAACAACAATAACTAGAGGTCGACCAATTATTCTTTTTGGCAGATTAAGACTGTTTGATTAACATCTTGCTGAACTTCCTGTTAGTTTTATTGCACCTGTTTCATTGTGAGAGGTTACGCCTTCATCATTCTTTTATGATGTTTGCTGATCTTATGTAATTCCGGCCTAGCTCAACTCAACTTGGACCTCAGCAGCTTCTAATCAGCTAGAATAAGTGGAAACATCTGTGTGGGTGCATACTAGGGGCTTTAACTGGAAGATTCTGACTACTGTTTGCTGTCCGCCAGCTGTTGGTCATTTACACTCATCCTCTACTAACAAGCTACCAGCTTAATGTCTGAAAATGATGTGAAGATAGCTTTTATGAACCTGGATAAAGACTTATCACACCTTCAACTTTTCAAGCATCTAAATTACACAGAATGGTGTTTCTTTCTTTAGAAATCCATCTTTGGACATTTTGACATGTCACTATAAAGCACAGGTGTAAATGATGATGATGAATGAAGGATGGCTGAATTACATTTAGCTGCTTTGGTGAAGGCACATGCTGCACACTGTCACTGTCACTTCAAAAGTCCTACTATGACAAGTCAAAATGTTTGCTGTGAACAAGGAAGACAGCCTCATTCTCATTCTGTAGGCTTTGTCCATAATCCCTCACCAATCACTTATGCGCTACTCTCTATATAATGGACACTCAATAGGTTACACTGTAGTGAGCAGAAAACTGAGATTTTGGACATTTACTAATTATCACCATTTCACGCCACTAACAGACAGTGCCTGACTTTAATTTGCCCTAATGCATTGTGGGATTATTAACAGAAAGGGGTGTACATACCATGGACATTACTTTTTTGATTCACTGTATGAGGGCACTGTGTAGAGCCTAAATCTTACACTCAAAAGTCGGACACCCAAAAAGAGAGTAAAGAGAGTAAAGAGAGTGAACTATGAAGTAAAAAGGGAGTGATTTTGGACACAGTTGGCCAAGTTGCAGCATCAACATTAATTAGCTAGTGAATTTGGTGATGGTATGGATGTCTAAAACCTCTAACATTCTTAGACCTTGTGCAGACACTCTTAAATATGTCACTATCCGAATGTCTCCTACAGGCTTATCAGACTTTAGGCCTCATGGGCTGCCTTCCTGTTGAAATGATCTGTTAAAAAATGTTGGACTAAGCTGACTAAAGAGAAAATCACATTAGAAAATAGACTGGATTTAACTTAACACTTTACCTCACAATAAAAATATAGTTGCTTGTTCAATTCTATTAGTAAGACATATCATTGAGGTTGAAGATTTATTATGGGAACCTGATAAACACTCTAAAGGGGTGTGTCCACATAGTGTTTTTCTTTGGTACAAAAGCAGTGGCAGGGCACTGGGAAACACTTCATCCCAGTGCTTCATTAAAACAATGCTCTCAGTGCTTTGTCAATGTTGCACTACTTGTGGGTTTTGTTTCTGTGACAAACATATTTTGACATTAATGTTAGTTAGATAATGTAATTCCATATTAACAGAGGGTCGACTACACAGTGAACAAGAAGCTTACAACACGTACGATGATAAAGGCACAATACTTACCAGCAACATTCAGTGTCTGAGCAATCTGCTCTCAAGAATGGGCTTTTTGTCTTTGTAATAGTTTCTGACTGATATATCATACAGCTTGGAACAGACAGTAGCTAAAGGAGCGGAAATGATGACACCAGTGCCTTTCTGAAAAGTTGGGAGGTTTTCAAGTAGAAGCCCTTGGAGCGGCCACACAAAAAAAGCTGGAGTGCTCTGAAAAATAGATGTTGGGTGCAGCACTTTTCCTACACTCTCTTCTTATTAGGATCAATTGAAAAATAACGCTGGTGCTCTGTAAAACAACACTGTGGACACAGACCCTAATCTCTATAAACAGGTATCTGCGTATGTATGCAGAATCTGTAGACAACAGGATAATTGGTAGCATTCTGGTTTCTGTTTGTCATTCAAGTGGTATTGATCAATCACGTCTGAGCAGCAGGTAAACAGTTCGAGTGGAGGGCAAAAGAGGCAGAAAGCATTTGGCCAAAATGCAGTCAAAATCCCATAAGCTGTCGAACTTTTTATTAGCTTTCTTAAAAATGTATCTGCATTCATATGCAGATATCTGTTGATAGAGATTAGCCCAAATGTTGTCTTGACCAGTCTCAAGGTCCTAAACGAACTGTATGATGACCGGTGCATGGAAGAAGTCTTGGTCTGGATATATGATTGCTACACCAGATCTCTCAAAATATTAGACATTGCCCCCAAAGGCTTATCGTCGTCAGAGGAGAGGTGATGGGCTACAAGATTGCTGAACACCAAAACCTAACTTTTGTGAATGTTTTCAAAAGATGCTTGACAGTTGAATCAGGACACGTTTTCTTTTACACAGACATAGATACAATACATATATTTATGTATATTTATACATTAGTACAGAGAAACCCATCTACACACACACACACACACACAATCAGTGTTTACCTTTAAAGGCATTTGTGGCCGGTAAGTCAGTTTCCTGCATACTGCTCCTTCCCGCGCTCTGCCAGCTGCTGCCGATGCTGCGATGGATGCCAACAGACAAACCTTAACCGGTCCGAGCCACGGCCGCTGGAGGGAGGGAGGGTGGCCGAGAGGAAGGGACGGCGCCTGCCAGTCTCACTGCCATCTTTCTTCATCAACAGTCCATGTGCGTGAATACAGCTGACTGGTTATCTAGTCTGTGCGATTATATAACTGTCTTTTGACAGTTTTGCTACTGCAGGACCTGGGCAATGTGGTGATGGCTAAGAGGAAGAGGGGCACAAAAGGAGGAGATGGAGGGGTCTTGGGTCTGAGACACTGACTTCAGGTCAGGTTAAAAGAGGATGGATGAAGGTTTAGGAAGTTGCAGTGTGGATGTGGTTGATCTGAACTCTATCCTCCCAACAGCAGGCCTACAGCCATGGCCAGCACCATGAATTCTTGTCTGTCTATCAATTTTTCAACCTGTCTGGATGCAGGTGAGCTTCTCAGCCTCTTTTGTGTCTGTGAGCTTCAAATCTATTTATTTCTCAGTCTCTCTGTCTGCCTCCGTCTCCCCCACAGTCAGGATTCTCTCTTAAACTCAGCTCTAATCAACATGCCGTCTCCTCTGATTCTCTGAGCGTTTTTGCAGGCTTGTTCCCGTGTTTCTTTGACTCCCGTCCTCCCTCGTTTATGTCTTTTGTCCCGTTGCTGCAGTCCCAAACTCAGCACGAGGCACTGAGGCGCTCTCACACTGGCACCACGGCTATAGAAAAGAAAGAAAAAACACAGACAGAGGAGAAATTCAGTGAATAAAATCATGAGATACCAAAAAACAACAGGCGAAATAGATATACCCAAGCAAAACATGGGCAGGGCTGACTGCTGGCCTGCAACGACCAGTTGAGAAAAGTGCACAAAAAAACAACACTCATCGACATCAACCCACGCACACACCCACACACACAGCAGAGGACGAGCCGCAGTGTGTGTCTCAGTTTGGATAGCAGGTGGGTGGCTGGCTGGCTGGCATGGCCCCCTTTAGTTCCTCTCACCCACTAGGTTCTTACATGAAAGGGAAAGTTTTTCTGAAAGCCAAGTGCTGCCTGTGACCCTATTTCACAGAGCAGGGGAAAGATAGAGCCACATGTCAGTGTGCCACTTTGAAGTCTGCCTGATAAACAGGGCTGGAGGAGGCTACGGCTAAGGAAACAACAAAACTTTATTTACATTTCAAAAGTGCCAAGTGCTTTTTTTGACTGGGAAAGAAATAAAATCCAAAAGAGAGGAAGGGGAAGAGGAGGGTGGGGGGATCGGAGGAAAACCGGTTTAAGAGTAACAACAGCTACTGTTTCTGTTGTCATTGAGAACAAACAAGATAAAATGAGGGTGTTGGCGAGATAGATTACATAGAGGGATGGAGTATGATGGGGGGAGAAAGGGAAATCGCATAGGAGAAAGGCAGATGTTTAAGAGAATAAACAAGGGAAACATCCTGTAGGAAGAGGAGAAGGCAACAAAAAAGGGAGAAAAAAAGATTTTCAGAAAAGGAGGACAGAGAGAGACAGAAATCAAACAAAGTTCAAGAAGAGAAATGTTGCGGGACGAGAGAAGGGAGGAAAGGAGGAATTTGTTGGTGGAAAAAGCAGACAGACTGTAAACAAACACACGCCCTGTCTGAGGTTTGGAAAGGCTCGACAGATCTCAGTTAGCTAGTCTTATCTCTGCTGCATTTGCCTGTACTTATCGAGTCTTATCGCAGTAAGGATACACACAACAGCTTGTGCCCCGACAAATGGAAAAGTAAAGGCGAGAACTGGGCTGCCGTGATGTCGAGGGATATTCACTTCATTATATGCCCTACCAGTGATTCATCATTTTGTCTGCTTGTGATAAAGCCAAGGCAATGTCCAGAGTCTTTCAAAGTCCATGGTGGAGAAAATGGAATGAAATGAGTTTCGTGAAAGTCAAGGAGAGGAGAGGAAATGAACAGAAAGGAAAGGAAAGGAGGGAGGAGGGCAGAAAGGAGGCCGCCACACTAGACTAATTGATTACAGCGTTAGAGCAGAATTATCACAGATTAATCCTGTGTTTGATATTGAGAGGAGCAGCCTGTGAATCCACACAGAGATAGGTTTTGTGTGTGTGTGTGTGCATGTGTGCATGTGTGTGTGTGTGTGTGTGTGTTAAGTCTGGTAATCTTAAGTTTATCCCTGCTGAGGCCAGTAGAGTTCACTGGTTCACAGGCTGAAAGATGATGCAGCAATTTTGGTATTATCAGGTATTGGTATCAGGTATCAGGTATCAGGTATTATCACAACAGCGGGCCCCAAAAGGTTAAAATGTCAAGTGTCCCCTTAGTTAATTTTGTAGTATTTAGGGGAATATATTGGCAGAAATTGAATATGATTAGAATGTTGTCTTTAGTGTATAATACCATGAAAATCAGAATCATTGTTTTTTTTCGTTACTTTAGAATGAGCCGTCTATATCTACACAGGGAGCAGGTCCTCGTCTATGAAGATCACCATGTTGCAACGCCATCTTACTACGGTAGCCCAGAAGGAACAAAGCAAACACTGGCTCTAGATAGGGGCATGCACGTTTTTGAGTCAGCCATCATAGTTTGCAACCCCTGTATGATGAGTGTCCAAAAATCATTGATTTTTTGAACATGAAACTGCTTTATTGAGTGTTTTTTTGCTTTAAATCACCACATACTTTTGTTTTCGAGAGGAAGAGACCTCTGCAGATAATTTTGCTCCATAATTTTGACCTTTTATTCATCCAGAGCTTGATAAAACTGTCAGCCTAAATGTTTCACATAATTCAAACAGTGTTAGATGGACACATAAGAGAATGTATTCTTCAGGTTAGCTAAGAAACAAATATGGAAATAAATGTTTTTAAGGGATAATAAGCCCTAAACCCACATTCACAAAGAGTTTGTCATTTTAACAGGATTTACTGTTCATGATTTCCTACTAAATAAAATATGGCATTATGGAGATATGAAGAAAATCCTCAAACTTCTCTGATGCCACCTCCTTAAATGTCAATATTTTCTATTTTCTTTAATACTCTATAACAGTAAAGTGAATATGGGCTGTGGACAAAACAAGACATTTGCGAATGGTATCTTGGGCTTTGGGAAACAGATTGACATTTCTTTTTTTACAATTTTATGATGTTTTGTGGATCAAACAACTAATCAATTAATCAAGAAAGTCATTGACAGATTAATCAACAATGAAAATAGTCGTTTGTTGCAGTGCTAATAACCCGGCAGATATGTTTATGTCATCACATTTATGAAAAGATAATTGATCATTAATCCAATGTTGTCATAAAGCAATCCTGCTCACTGAAACATTGCCCACAAAGGCTTAAAGGGAAATTTCGGTTTATTTCAACCCATCTCCTATCGTCCTAAATTTGTTTCAAGTGACTAGTCACATAGAAATAATAGTTAGCATGTTAGCCATTAGCCTAGATACAGCCGGGGTGCATAGTAGCATCAGACCTGTTAAAACGTAAGTGAACGGGCAACCTTCAAGTGCAAAGTTAGTCCACTAAACAAGCTTTTTTTCCACAAAGGCCGCCTCATATCGTTAGGATAAATGTCAGAGAACATATAGAAAACGACATGTAAACGTGTTGTCTTACCTTACCGGTGTGGTGCCATGTTTGTTTACCATTTAGCTCTACTTTCCAAAGCGCGGCCGAAATATCGTGAGAACAAGCAGCGATCTTATAGCGTGCCTGAACAAGCAGCAACAGCTGGAAGGCAGAACCGGACAGTAGCCTGAAAAGTTAATTCATTTATTTTATGAAAGATTTATAGAATAATAGCTGACTTTTTGCCAGACTTTCACTTTGTGGAGGAGGAATTTGATTTTGGAGAGTTTGATGGACGCCCTTATTTAATTGAGCCAGAATACACTGACGAAGAGCTTCGTGAAATTGAAGAACGGAGGAGGAGAGAGAGAGAGAGAGAGGAGCAACAGGTAGAGGACGAGAGAGGAGGAATGGCTGCTGCAAGGCTGCGTAGCTCTGGAGATTGGTGGTGTACCTGTGAATGCTGTGCCCCAGTGCCCACAGAAGAGGAATGCCTCTGTTGCAAGGAATGGGAGTGGTTGCAGCCTTATTTTCATGGTCTGGATGTGACCGAGGACGAGACACCTCCACCTGTATCCAGCTGGGCTTTATCTAGAGCTTGCGAGATATATTTCAGCTGCGCTTTGGAAAGCAGAGCTAAATGGTAAACAAACATGGCACCACACCGGTAAGGTAAGACAATGCGTTTACATGTCGTTTTCTATATGTTCTCTGACATTTATCTTAACAATATGAGGCAGCCTTTGTGGAAAAAAAAGCTTGTTTAATGGACTAACTTTGCACTTGAAGTATGCCCGTTCACTTAAATTTTAACAGGTCTGACGCTACTATGCGCCCTGGCTGTATCTAGGCTAACGGCTAACATGCTATTATTTTTATGTCACTAGTCACTTGAAACAAATTTAGGACGATAGGAGACAGGTTGAAATAAACTGAAATTTCCCTTTAATACTGACAGAGACATTGAAAGGATAGTTCTGCAGTATAAACTGTATGGCAAAATCTATGACTTATCACAATTTTAGATCTTATCTTTAGTCTTATGGCCCACTCCTCAAATCAGTCAGAGCAGCCACCTTTACATGTCATCCTGACCTGATATATTCTCTGTACTTTCCTGTAAGCAGGGAAGTACTGTAAGTATGAAAACACGTTGCTGAGAATCCTCTGAAACCTTATTAAGGACCCCTGCTGGCCCTAGGACCCCAATTTAGGAACCAAAGACTCTCTGGTACCACATACCAACAAACCAGCTGCCACACAACTGGAGCAGCTGACAAAAGTAAACTGTTGATTTATGACACCTAACAAGAAAAGGGGAAAGTCCCAGAATTTATTTGCCCTTCTTAAATGTAATGACAGAGCATTTCCCAACTTATTCTTGTCAGAGTTGGAGCAATGAAAGCGCAACAGAAAGAAACACAAATTAAGAAGTGGAATTTTTACAACGTGTGCATATTCCAGTAACTGATAATGACATTATTGTATGGCGTGTATTAAATCCCACTGTATCGCTCTATTTTGGAGGAGAAATTAAAACATCATATGCTCTATTCAGAGTCCTGGAGTAAGGACTTTATATCTGATTCCATCATATAAATGTTACATTATATTCCATATAAAACTACTGCACAGCGCAAACCCTCAATGGCTTATCAGGTAGGATTGTTCCTGTAAATAATAACCAATTTCTTCCAACCTGACGCACAAGCTCTTTCTGTGGACTACCTGTGAGTCAGTTCAGCCTGACCCCGCTGACTGTCTGTCTACGGGGTGATACGAGGACAAAAAACTACTACTACAACTACCACTACTACTGTGGCCTATCTGTTTGTCCTCTGGGTCATCTGAGGACAGCTACTCATCATGACAGGCTGTGTATATTAACGCTGTTTGCTGTTTGACGATGATATTTGAGGCCCCAGGTGGATGTTTGTCTGTGCTCTGGTCATTTAAGGACACCTCATGTTCTCCTGTCTTATCTCTGGATCTATCCCGCTGTAAGACTTCAAAGTCTGAGCAACACAGAGAGCACAAAAGTCTGAAAAACACCACAGCAGCAGAGCAACATTTAAAACTAAAGTAGAAAAGGAAAAGTGAAGCTATTTTCTCTTTCAACTTTTGTTAAGTTTGTCATTGACAAGGAAA